CCCAGTCTTAGACAAGGTTTGTGCTGGTTTCTCAGCTTGCTAGTCCTGCTGCTTGCGGGTGTATAAATTCACAGCCAGAGAGTTGACTCTTCCCAAGAAGATTTTATTCTCTACCAGAGTCCTAGGAAGGTGGCGAGCTTCCTTGTCTTTCTCTGGGCTAGAGGGACAGCCACTGAGGCCCTGCTTCATGCAGGGGTCTGGTCCTGTCTCCAGCTTCCTGTTGCTGCCCGGGCATTCTAGGGGCTGGGTACCTGATGCGTTCACTTTGTAAAAACTCATGGCGTTGCACGCTTCTGACGTACGTCTTTTTCTATATGAATGTTATCCTTTCATGAAACTTTAAAAGGCCCCTTTAGTATCTTTATCTAGGATCAATTATCTCCCTAACTCCATTCCTAACCTAACAGCTCCAGCCTTAAAACCCTCTCTTCCCCTTCTCCTCCAATTCTGACACCCAGAGATCTTCCTTTCACACTCACCTAAGATTTGGGGGGAAGGGGAGGAGAACATTATATTTATCCAGTAAATCTGCTTATAATGGGGGAACAAGAGGTGAGCAGGAGATTCCCTGATACAAGTGAGAGATGATTTCGGACTGAGAGGACGAAGGAATTCTTTTCACCAAGGAGGTGTTGGAACTTACAAGAGCAGGATGGGAACATGCTGAATGAGGGAGACACTGCAGGCAGAAGGGCACACGCTGACAAGACATGCACTTGGCCATGGCACCGAGTCCAGGAAGGATTAGGAGAAAAGGCGGCAGGCCACGCCTGAAAGTGCTAAGGACGTGCCCCTTCGTAGGCTAACAGGACTCGATAGCCCTGACAGTCACGGAGCAGAGCAGCCTGTTCAGGGCTATGCTCTGAGGGACATAGCTGGGCAAGCAGAGTGTGGGTTATGAACATAAGAGGGGCGAGGCGGGAAGACCAAACAGAAGAGCATGGCCACAGGTGATGTGCAAGGTATGGAGGGGAGTGGCAAAGCAGTGGGAGATATCAAGATGTAGAGAGGACAGGAAAACGCAGGTATTGGCATGTTGGTGATCACAAGGATTCCAGCCTCGGTGAGGTCGAAAAAGAAGCATGTTAGTTAGCAGGAGAGCTGGTTGGAGACAAAGATAACTGTACCTTTTAATTGCAGCTGTTTTCATTTTGTTTTGTTTTTAACTGAGTATATTTTATGTTGCAGGAAGGACAAATAGGCACAGCTATCCAAAAGGAAGTTTTAGTGGTCACTGATGTAGAAATGATGATTGAAACTAACCACTTATTCATCATTTTTTCAGCACCTGCTA